ACTGCTTTGCATGGATGCTGGTAGCCAAACTCAGGTTCTCTGGAAGAGCAGTAAGTGCTCTTAACCACTGAGAGTCCTCTCCAGCCCCCTTGTACTGCTAATAGAGCTCTTTATTAATGGCTCTTTTACATATATTTAGAAATAACGGTTTTTTTGGCCAGGTTATCTTTTGCAGACATGAAAAAGGAATATATGCATATTAAATAAAATTAATATTTTTCTAAAATTTTACCACAGCTATCTTGCCACAGCTACTGTAAATTGTTCCTAATTAGAATGTGCATTTGCTTTCAATGTTAAGATATAAAAATATATAGAATCAGAGAAACAAGATTTATTTTAATATTAAGTATGAAAGCTGTATATTTTTTATAAACTAAGTTGGAGTGAAATGTTTGGATATCACACCATAATTTCTGTATTTACTCTGAGAGAAAATAAAGACGTCACTTGGCTCTTGGGAGATTACTCGCCTTATATCTTAGCGTTTCAGAGAAAGAAGTGAATGCTTTAATGGTAGAAGAAGCCGAGGCCGGTAATTATTGCATGAAAATGAATCAGCAAATGGCAGAGTAAAGAAGTCTCTGTTTCTTCTTCCTCCCCCTTTCCTCTTTTTAAGGCAAAAGCAACCACAATCAAAGAAGCCCTGTCCAGATGGGTGAGTAGATGGCTTTCTCCTCCTTTCAGAAACCCAAGGAAAAGGTTGAGCTGGTGTTTACATCTGACCACTCAACACAAGAGATTCTTTTGATTTGGGGACTGTTTAGCTATCTTGTCTGTGGTGGTGGATGCCTGAGCCTACACAAGTAATGAAATTGTATAGGCGTTAGCATGCAATGTAAATATACACACACTCATATATACCAACTATACCAGGCAGACTGGGGAGATCTGAGTAAAGTGATGGGTTTTGTAAATAACAATACCCTGCTTGTGATATATTACAGTTCTATTGAGCATCACCACTGGGGAAAATTGGACAAATGATCTCCTTGGGGATTTTTTTGTGCATGTGGTGCTGGGGGTGGATGGAACCAGCGTTTTACATGCTAGGCAAGTGCTCTACTATGGCGTGCACACCTAACTTCCGAGTTACTGTTTTCACCAATGAACCAGGCATCTCTCCTGCTCTATAGCTAGACTCGGAATAAAAGTCTTCCAGTAGCCTAGGTATCTGGGAAAATAGACAGTAGCCTAGGTATCTGGGAAAATAGACAGTAGTCTAGGTATCTGGGAAAAAGTGAGTAGAATCATGAAATACTTGAATTTGTATGTTAGTGCTTGTAAGTTTCTGTATTTATTCTTTTTTTTCTCTGTTTTTATTTAATGTTCATATATGCTTTACCTGCATATATGTCTGTGTGAGGGTGTCGGGTCCCCTGGAACTAGAGTCACAGACAGTTGTGAGCTGCCATGTTGGGGCTGGGAATTGAACCCACGTCCTCTGGAAGAGCAGTCAGTGCTCTTAACCGCTGAGCCATCTCTTCGTTCCCTGTATTTTTATTCTAACTGCATTTTAAAGAGTCGTTCTTGGGGCTGGGGATGTGGCTCAGTTGTTAAGTGTTTACTGCACAAGCGAGTACAAGGCCCTGAGTTCAGATCCCCGCCCTCACACAAAAGACCAGGTGCAGTAAGTAGCACTCCGGTGCTGAGATAGAGTGCTGAGGAGATAGAGACGGGAGGATTCCTGAGGATTACCAGCCAATCTAGCTGCATCTGTGAGCTCTAGGTTCAGTGGGAGACACTGTCTTACAAATGAAGGTAGATGCTGGGGATGAAATTCAACTGGTAAAGCAGAATACTCTGCTAGTACACACAGAGCCCTGGGTTTGATCCCCAGCACCACATAAAACGGTGCACAGTAGTGCGTGCCTATAATCTCTGCACTCAGGAGACGAGGCAGGAGGATCAAAAGTTCAACGCCATACATGACTACATGTGTTCATGGTCAGCCTGGGATACAGAAGACCCTGCCTCAAAAAAAACAAAACAAAACAAAACTATAAATCAGTATATAAACAAATAAATAAGAGTGCTGGACACCCAGCATCAATCTCTGGCTTTCACAGGCACAATCATAGATGCATGCCAACACACATGAACACACACACACACACACACACACACACACACACGCACGCACGCACGCACGCACGCACGCACACGCACACACACACACACACACTTTTGCTGGGTTAAGTATTTCATAAAATTTGTTAAAGAAAGAGTATAGACTAGACTCAGATTTGATCTTCCTTAAATTGCATTCTAGAAAATTATTTTGTTTTGGCTTCATTTGCTTTTAGTTCATAGATTCTAGTTCTAGTTACATTATGGCCAATGGCCTTTGACTTTAAGATCTTCGAAGGCGTTAAGCATATTCTTTCATTGATTAACCCACCATTCTCTGTTTAACATTTAAAAGTCTTAATTGACGTACAATGATTGTACAGGTGTATGGAATACAATGTGACATTTCGAGACTACCCTGATTGCACCCAATCTCATCTGAAATACACAGATTATCATAATCTCTGTGCAGAGAGTACCCCAGCCTCCTCCTCCCGTCTTTGTCTTCCCAGCCTGGGGTAACCATTATTCTCCTCCTGACTTCTAAAAGATAAGATCAACGCCTTTACCCTCCGTGCACAAATGGGAACATGAAATATTTGTCCTTCTGGGCCTTTTGCACTAAGGAGTCCTCTAGGCCCATTATGTTGGCACAAATAACCCAACACTGACTGAAGACCTACTAGGTGTCACTTTCCTATGCCCTGACCTATAAATGTGATGACAGTAAGCACAGGGAGGCTGGGGCGATCGCTTAGCTGGTAGTGTTTGCTGCAGGCACGCACAAGGACCTGAGTTCACATCCCCGAAGCCCAACTCCAGGGGTTAAAGGAATGAAGCCACGAAGGTGCTGGGGATCCCGAGTACTGGGATCAAAGGCATGCACCACCACTGCTCAGCTGTTATTTGAAAGTCTCTTCAAGAACTTCAACTATTGCAAATAGGAGTTCTTTTCTGCTCATTTTCATTGTGAGGACTTAAGAGTTATCTGGCCCAGGTATGGAGAAACATGGCTATTAAGGCCGACAAGGACAAATGCCAGTGAGGAAGTGGTGAATAATAATCTGAGTTAGTAAAGCATAATCATTATTTTGAAACAAACATTGAAAGGCCTTGTGAAATTCTAACCTCTTTTGTTCCACATTATAACCAAGGATCATTTTGTACCAAATTAATTTTGTCCATAGGAAGAGAAGACTGGTCAGAGGCCATCTGAGGCCAAAGAGATAAAGCTGTATGCCCAGATCCCCCCAATAGAGAAGATGGATGCATCTCTATCCACACTTGGTAACTGCGAGTAAGTTCCCCTCTCTCCCCCTCCTATTATTGTTAAGTTTTCCTTCCTTTTCGTACACAAACCTGTTTGTTTTCTGTGGCCTTTGTTGTTGTTTGCTGTAGTTTCTCCCCTGACAAAGCCAAATGTGAAAAATGATTGGTTTATGAGATTATTGATAGAGTGATACTGAACAATACAGCACTTTTTTCCTGTACAGTTTTTATACAGTGTTCGTAGCTAGAAGTTACCTAGTCTTTTGAGAGAAGCTAAGTAACACAGTAACTTCCGGCTTTGTTGTGCAGACCGCTTCCTAAGCAGGGGATGATATTCAGAGTTAACCTGGGAAACTTACAAGACTCTCAAAATAAAAAATAAAAATTAAAAGGGCTGGTTAAAGTACTTGCCAAACACCGATAACTGTGTTCAGATCTCCAGAACACACATCAGTGCTGGCTAATTCAAAACACTGATAACTGGATTCAGATCTCCAGAACACACATCAGTGCTGGCTAATTCAAAACACTGATAACTGGGTTCAGATCTCCAGAACACACATCAGTGCTGGCTAATTCACCTTGAAAGGCAGAGACAAGGAATATCCAGAGAAAGCTTGCCATATCAGCCAGCTCTGAGTTTGACTGAGAGCCCGTGCCTCAATGAATAGGCGGAAGAATGATGGCTGATGAATCAGAAGCACAATTCCTCAACATTAGGCCTCTACCTGTGTGTACACGTGTACACACCACACACACAAATGGTAAAAAGTGGGCCGGAGGTCATCAGACTCACTAGAAGAGGCCTTGCCCAGCTCTTGCAGGTGCAAGGCCTTGAGTTCCACTTCCGTATGGCAATAAAATGATAAAACAAAATTGAACAGTCTGCTGCTTTCTCTTCTAAAGTTACCAACCCAAATCAGTCATGTTTATTTACTAGATGCCTAAGAGATGCCTCTTTTTTAAAAAGAACTTCAAAATACCTAGAAAATACAATAAATATGAAAAAAGGAATTAATATCAACCTAAATTGCAATACATTGTGGAACTAGTATTAGCACTTTGGGACTAATTCTAACTAGGCTGGGCATGGTGGTGTTTGCCTGTAACCTCAGCCCCTAGAAAGCTGAGGCAGGAGGATCATTAGTACAGGGTCAGATAATGAGATCCTGTCTCATAAAAACAAACAAAAATTCTAATTGGGATCAAATTATACTCATTTTGTAGTCTTATTTCCCAGGACTTTAAATATCCGGTTGATACTAATTCTTTTCATTTATTTTCTAAACATTCCGTACAGTTTTTAGCAGGGTTCTGTGGCTAACTTGGAAGTTATACCCTGTTACATCATACCCATATTTTCATACTTGCTTGCGTCTCGTCAGGGCTGTAGAATACTCTAGAGTTTCTGGGGCTCCTTTACTCTGTGTTTATCTAATTGCGATCCCTTCACTTGCCCTTTCTGTAGGAGATTAACTCAATCTCAGTTTCACAGAAGCAGAAGGTCTCCTAACGAAACCGTAGCATCCTATTTACAGTAAGCAAATTGGACCGTTCTTGGACACATATCTGCAAACCGATTAGACTGATATCTTTGGATCAAAAGGAAAAGCAAACTTGTTTACTTACCAAGTGCAACTTGTTCCTTGTGATGAAGGCATAGAGCAAAAATTGTTTTGCTTCAACTATGACTTCAAAGTAATCAAACATGTTTTTATCATAAAACTATCTGAAAGGCAACGTGTTTGAGGCCTGTGAGCTACACAAAGCACCTCAGAAACCACTTAGAAAGAGCCAGGTTGTTCATAGTTTTCGCGGACATCTTTTGGACAGGTTGCCTAAAGAGAAATTAAAGAATTCCTTCCCAGCCATAGCCTTAGATTTCAAGGCGTTCCTTTTGGCACTGGGAGTGCTCAGGAGTGGGTGAGTGAGTAGACAGCATGCAGTGCTGGTCCTTAACTCGCCAAGTATTTATATAGTAATTGCCTTTGCTTTTTCAAGCAGATTAAAAATGAATAATTCCTCTTCAAGTCAAATCATGAGGGTAAGATACATACATGTTCTAGGGTTCTAATTTTGGCCCTACCACTTTGTAACTGTATAATATTGGGGAAATTGCTTAATGGCTTTGCACCTCAATTTCATTCATGAAATGCAATAAAAATATCTAGGAAGATTATGAAATATTCAATCAAAGAATACATGTACCAAACATTTGATAACACCAAATGCCCTTAAAAAGTTTGTTTTTAATTCTCTATAATGAATATGTGTTAACTTTTATAATCAATGGTGGGAGGGAGATTTCAAGATTAAAGAATAAATTCTATGAGTGAAGGGGAAAAATGAATTCAGTACAAAAAGAAACATGAATTAAAAATCTTCCATGGGCTATTGCTATTGAGAAATAATTTCTGACACTTAGGTTTTTCAAATTGATTAAAGTTTTTCTTTATTCTTTTAAAGGAAACTTTCCTTGTCTACAAACTGCATTGAAAAAATTGCCAACCTGAACGGCTTGAGTAAGTAATCCACGGGAACAGATGGCTCTTGGGTTCCTAGTTATTGGAGCAAACATTCCAGAGACATGTGTCATTCCAGTCCATGTCAGATGATGGAGATGAGATGTAACCATGTTTCGAGTTTGGTTATCCAAAGAAAATGAGGGATGGCATGAGACCTGGATATTTTCATCGAGTACAGGTTGAGATGACTGAGACAGCCAGATTGCCTGTTGTGTGTGTTTTTGTTCAGGTTTGTCTGGGTCTTGAACTTGTATTTTAACTGTAAGTTCCCACCGTTCCGGGCTCTCTAAGCTCCTTACCCTTGGGAGCGGTGCCTCCGCCCTCCCTGCCTCCTCCGCTTCTCACTTCCTCAGTTTCCAACGGCTACAGCAGCTCCGTGACTTGAATGACAGAGTGTGCGCTCTCACCGTTTTGGAAGTTACAAATACGAAATGAGTTTCACTTGAGCCAAAAACCAAGCCTCCCTGTGAGGCTTTTAGGAAGAATCTTTCTCTTGCTTGTTCCGTTTTGTGGTGACTGCCACATTCCTTGGCTTCTGACTGCATGATGCCAATTTCTGCTTTTGTGGTCAAAGTACCTTCTGTTCTGTCCATGTTACGTCCCTGCCTCCCTCCCATCAGGACACATGGACACTTTGGCACACTAGATAGTAAGAATGATCCCCTATCTCAAGATCTTTCCTTTCTTTTTCTTTCTTTTTGTTTGTTTATTTGTTTTTGTTTTTGTTTTCCAAGACAGAGTCTTCCTATGTAGCCCTGGCTGCCCTGGAACCCACTATGTAGACCAGGCTGGCCTCGAACTCACAGAGCTCTGCCTGCCTCTGCCTTCCAAGTACTGGCTCTATCACAGTATCTTTGGACACATCTACAAAGGACTTTTCTGCCATACACAGTAACAGTCACAGGCTCCAGGGATTGGCATGTGGGTATCTTTGGGGGAGCTGTTATGTAGTCTGTGGCACTCCCTTCTCCACCAAGTCCTGCTCCAAGTCCACCACTGAACCCTGTTCACTCTCTTCTGTGAAGGTCCTCTCAGAGGATTGCTCCTTTCCGTCAAGCGGAACCTTTAATGTGGAGCCTCAGTAGCTCCCCCTTAAGTCTTGCAGGAAAAAAAAAATACATTTGAACTTACTATACTTTCCTATAAATATACAAAGCAAATGTACACACGTAAACTGGGGTAGTTTGAAAACAGCATATGCCCTTGTAGCATAAATTCTAGTGTGAACTTTAGAACTTGATGTCTTTTTTGAATGTTAGCCATAACACACTACGTTTGTATATCTGTGTGTGTTTTGAGTGGGTGTCCGTATGTGTGTGTGTCGGTCAGAGGCCACCACCGGGTGTCATTCTTCAAAAGCCATCCACCTTGCTGTGAAAGAGGCTTTCTTTACTGGCCGGAGCTAGCCAAATAGGCTAGGCTAGCCAGCCTGCCCCAGGATCTGCCTGTCTTCCCCTCACTGGATCTGGGATTACAAGTGCACACCACACCAGCTCTTTTCATGGGTTTTGGGACCCAGACTCAGGTCTTCATGCTAGACTGAACTATCCACCCAGCCCACAACACACTAAAGTGATTTCATGACCTATTAAAGGCTCATGCCTGTGTGGTCTGAAAAGCACGGCCTGTCACTCTTGCAACAGCATCCGAAGTCATCGTTTCTGTCTTTCTGTTCTTCAGTGAACTGTCCTTACTGACGCCAGAGTTCCCATTCTGAAAATACATTCTCCCAGATCAGAGACCTTCTAATCATTCATCTTTGCCTAACAGAGATTTAGTGCCTAATGTGTCAGAGTCATTTCAAAGCCTGTGCCACCCTAGTCACTTTCAAACATAAACATAACATCCTTTGGGGTTTTTGGCTTGTTTGTTGGGGTTTTTTTTGTTTGATTTTTGTTTGTTTGTTTTTGTTGTTTGAGACAAGGTCTCACTATGTAGCCCTGGCTGGCCTGGAATTCATTCCTGTAGATCCAGCTGGCCTCAAACTCACAGAGATCCACCTGCCTCTGCTTCCTGAGTGCTGGGATTAAAAGTGTGCACCACCATGCCTGGCCATACCATTCTTTTTTGTACCTCTGCTTAGAAACTGCTCCTCATTGTGGACAGCCTCATCCTCTCCCAAGAAAAACCCTGTAAGAAATTAAGGTCAGGATTAAGAATGCCACCTCCTCTCTAGGACTTCCCAGATCTTCACCATCATGATCATTACCTTGAGAATATAATAATTTACCTTAGATTTTAATAATGTTTACCTACTAATGCAGTTAATGTAAAGATCAGTGAGTTAAGAGATAATGAAGGATAGAATCGTATGTGGTACATATAAAATGATGACTAAAGCTGGGTAGGATAGTGTACATATATAATTTGAGCTATTTGGGAGGCTGAGGAAGGAGTTTTGAGTTTGAGGCCAGCCTGAACAACCTTTGCAGGACCTTGTCTCAAGAACAGGGGAATGACTGAAGCTGGCATAGTGGCTCTTGCCTGTAATCTCAGTACTGGGGGGCTCAGGCAGAATGATCACTGCAAGTTCAAGGCCAGCCTAAGCTACCTAATGATATAATGAATTCTCTGCCAGCCTGGGCTACAGAGTGAGACCTTGCTTCAAAATGGAAGGAGGCTGGTGGTGAACTTCCATGGTGGAATGCTAGCCTGGCATACATAAGACCTGGGTTCAATCTCCAACACTAACCCCCGCCCCCCAGTAAAGATCAGCAGCAATGATAGTTGAGAACATGTTCTGTTCTTTGGAGCCCCTCAGAGGAAGCTCTGCAGCTTGGAAACCTTCCTGTCCTCGTGTCAGGCAGGCTCCTTACCCCATGGTGAATACCAAGATGGTGAATACCAAGATGGTGAATACCAAGAGGCCTGACTTGGGCTAAGAGCTCAGAGTTTTCAGTTAAGCTCATCTAAACTGTTGCTTTGGGCTCAAAACAGGGTGGACGCCATGGCAGGATGTCACGGCAGAGGAAAGTTGGTCATGCTTCCTAGAAGAGAGAGAGGAAGGGGCCAGGAACAAGGCATGTCTTCCCAGGGTATACCGCATTGTCCTGCTTCTCCCCTCGGTCCCCACTTCCTGTTCCCCCACCTCCCACTGATGCCTCGTATTATGGGTCCATCAAGGAATTAATCTGTTAATAAGATCAAAGCCATCATAACCCAGTCAGTTCCCCTAAGTTCCATTTCTGAACACTGTTGCGTTGGGAACCAAGCCTTTAACACATGAGTCTTTTAGGGGGTGTCTCATATCCTAGCCATAGGTCTGTCCCATCCACTCTGCACCCCACCCCTCACTGCCGCTGAGTTCAGGGGAAGTGTTAACTATCACTAGGCTGGTGTCTGAAATGGTGCCTTTCTTTCCATTTTTGCTGACTCGTTAATAATTTGGGCTATTTCAGGTTTTCCCTCCTTGGTTTCTCTGTAATTGGAGTAACCTGCAGGCGTGTGGAGATGGAAGGAGTGGCTTGGGGCGGGGGGTCTGCTCCAGTGTGGGTCCTGAGAGAAATGAGCTCAGCTCATTAAGCTTAGCAGCAAGCCTCTGCTGCACCTTGCCTGCTCACCGCCTGTTCTGTGGGAGAGCCTTTTTAACTGGCTGTGTACAGATCTTTAGTCTGTGAAGTTCTTAGAGCATCGTTCTGCTAGACTTGGGACAGTTGTGTGTATATTTCTCATAAATAAAATGCCTCTTTTCACGACAGAAAACTTGAGGATTTTGTCCTTAGGAAGAAACAACATCAAGAACCTCAATGGACTGGTAGGTTATTGTTTTACTTTTTAAAAAGCATACACTTTCTTATAAAAATAATGTTTTTATAGTGGAGAAACTTTACAATTCTAAAACCAAGTATGACAAGTACCAACAAACTACTGACAGCTTCAAACTGCTCAGATTTGGCTTGTTTTTTCAATCCTTGATGAGTCTGTAAAGTGAAGTTGTGCTATACATGCTGTGTTGTGTATCTTTTTCTTCGTTTATTTTTGAATTATACTTATTTATTTCGTGTGTGTGTGTGTGTGTGTGTGTGTGTGTGTGTGTGTGCTGTGTCGTGGCATGAATGTGGGGGTCGGAAGACAACTGGAGGGGCTCTCCCCTTCCACGTGTGGGTCCTGGGCCTTGAACTTGAATCACCATTCTTGGCAGAAATCATGGTGATGCCCTGAGCTGTCTCACCAGCTCGGTGTCTCCTTTTAAAATTTCATATGAAAAAATCTTTTTCATGTGATCTATTCAACAAATCCATTTGACATGTTTCCCGGATGCCTACGTTTCTGTTTGTTTGTGTGTGTGTGTGTGTGTGTGTGTGTGTGTGTGTGTGTGTGTGCACCATGGCAATCTTATGGAGGTCAGAGGAGAGTGTTTGAGACTCAGTTCTCTTCTTCCAAAATGTGGGTACTGGGGATTGAACTCAGTTTATCAGGGTTGGCAGTAAACCCTTTCACTTACTGAGTCATCTCACC